TAAGAAAAAATAGTATTTTCCAGGGCAGAAGAGAGGCGTAATCTTTGCCTTTCAAAGGAAGGAGTTCAAGTGTTGTATTCTGTGTATAACTGACAAGTGCTCTCTTATTTGGTATTTGTGTAGAAGATGAATTATATAACACCGTATAAATCATCACAAAGATCTAGTGTTTTGTATTTATTAGGAAGAATATATCCATTTAAGTTTTCTTCTCCTTTTGCAGCATAAACTGATATAATTCCGCTTGCTGTTGAAATGCATCCATAGTACAAAATACAGTTAAATTAAACTCAGTTGTAAAACCACCTGGCAGTAATTTTGCACCAGCAAATTTACACCAGCAATAGCAACTCACCTCGGTCAGTTTTTGTAAGAATAATTTTCTCTATCTAAATAAAGCCTACAATGATTAGTCACATTAATGTCAGATGAAAACATGCAAAATTGGGCAGTAATTTTTTTTACAGCTTTCAGTAATTTGTTAATCCTTAAATCGTATTAGTATCAAAATGAAGATATCTCTTTTGGGATATTGTGCTGCTTAGATGCTTTTGCATTATAATATCACATCTTAAATTGGGTGGGTTCTTAGTTCTCAAAGAATAAGTTTCCAGTCCTTAAAGATACTAAATTGTAGAAGATCATGGACACCATCATTTCAGGAGCTTTGCCTGAATGATGAAAGCATCACTGCAGTCACAACACAAGCTCTGCGCCTCTTTTATATGTGCACGTGACATCATAACATATGTATAAAGGGTGGGAAGTTACAGCATGCAAATACTATTAGTTATATAAATGTATACACCATGCTTTGATACCTCTTAAGAAAACGCAGACCTTTGCTACAGTCAAGGGTTTGGAAAAATGATTGATAAAGATTATTTCCTTTGAACACAAAACTATGACTCCCAATTTCCTATAAAGTTAATTGGCATCATGGACATGTAACATTCTCGTGGTAGTTTTGCAAAATAAACAAGTAAATAAACAAGAAACAAGTAAAAGAAACCCTACCTTGATCACTTCCCCTGCCTGTGTAATTCTGAAGGCTGGCTTGTTAGAATATTTATTAAATAGGTTAGTTAAGGAAAAGGTTGCCAATTCTCCCTTCAAAGGTGATTTCCCATCTCATTTTTATTATCATCTGTTCCCCTTATCAATTGTATAATTATCAGGCCCTTTGGTTTTTATATCCTTTAGGCATATGCCCATGCATAACCTACCTTTTCTTACAGCTTTCTTCTATGTAAGAACTTTGCAATCCTGTGGTTCTTTTCCCTCTAAATCAGGGGCCTCCGATCTTGGCAACTTTAAGACTGATGGACTTCAACTCCCAGAATTCCTCAGTTCTGTCAAGATTAGAGACCCCTGCTCTAAATCCAGGAAGCATAACTGTAACATGCTAGCTTTATTAATAATAAAGGATCATTGGATTCTTTTCCATTGATGGCTTTTCATGGATGAGTTCTCCATCATAATGGGCCTGGTGTCAGGACCCAGCCTCTTGCCTTCATTATTCTGTCTCCCCATCCCATGGTGGTTGAAAAGCAACATGTCTTGTGATAAATTGGGCTTTTCTGACTGGCTGTTTATGAAGGCATGGAAATAAGAGCTACTGGTTTATGGCTTCCAGTACTGCTGCAAAATGTTGCAATTTTTCCATGCTGTGTGGAAATGAATTGCCTGTAGACAGCAAAGAGGCACACAAATAAATTTGTAGTTACCAACTATGAATCCTCTAGTTTTGCTATAGATATCCTGCAGTAAGGAAATTGCTTCATTAAATTGGCGGAGTATTCATTCCATTGATTCAGGACTCAAATAGATGACTAAACACTCAAATAATTGTCTAAACTACACACAAAAACAGGCCTTCTTTCAAGTGCAAATCATACGTTCATTTATCTTGCCTATGGCTATAACTCTTTCTTAAAAGTTATAATAGATCTCATTACTGTCAAGAAGGTGAAAGATGAATGTATATTTCAATCATGTTGTTTAGAATCTTGGCATTTTCATTTCATTTCAGAAGGTACAGACAGGATCTCTAATGAATTCCACTAAGCCTACTTATGGGGAAGGAACTTAATTTCCATTCAAATCCTAAAAAAAGTCACTGCCACTATTTTTATCATTTCTGGGGCAGCTGTTGTTTAGAACTGCATGTTGCTGCATGTTGCTCTTCCTCACATTTCCAATTATAGAAACAGTTCACAGGGAAGATGTCCAATTATTGCCAACCCAATTTGAGACGGATTAGAGCTTTTGTTCTCTCTCTCTCTCTCTCTCTCTCTCCTTTTGAGAATTTCAGCTTCATTTCAGAACTCTTAGAGAACTCTATTTTAAAGTTCTTAGCTATAGATTCTGAATGCTTTTGATTTCCAAGAACCTCAATGCAAGCACACAATTTGCATTAGGGGTCTTGGAAACAAGTAATATTACAATGGATAAGTAGCCATAAAAACATCACGGCAAATATTGTTTCTTCCATTCAGTCATGTACGTTTTTCAAATACTGTCTGGAAAAGTCCACACTGTTTTCTTGGCCAGGTTTTCCAGAAGTGATTTGCCATTGGCTCATTCCTTGGGCTGACAGAAAGTGATCAACCCAAGGTCATCCAGCTGGGAAAATTGCAAATGGCGATCACATGCGGTCATTGCAGTTGTCGCGAATACATACTGGTTGCCAAGCAACCAAATGTGACCATAGAGATGCTGTGATGATCATAGGCATGAAGATTGGTCCTAAGTCATTTTTTTTCCAGTGTTGTTGCAACTTTCAAATGGATGATAAAATAAAATTGTAACTTGAAGACTGCCTGTGTAGGCTTTGGGTTTCTTGGATTTTTGTATGGTGCTTGGGATCTGTTTAAGTTATCTAAGCAAACACTACATCTTTGTAAGAGACCTGGCTCAAAATGGTGGAAAACTACATCCCTGAATTTTAGTAAATGAGGCTATAGGATCCCCAAAAGGGACAAAGGCCTGGAACGTGGACACAGGGCTTCAAACTCCGTAATTCTGAAAGTCAAACAAGAGCTTAAACCAGCTGTGTCCCTTGCAAGGCCTTTGTGGCTGCTTTGACAGCCCTTTTCCTGGAAGGCAGTCTCAGTGGAAATATTCCCTGCAGTAGATGTGGAGACAACGGGGAACAGCTTTTGAAATCAGCCAGGTGAGCCTTGCAAGACACAGGACTTCATTTGTGCTAACTTGCCTTGCAAAATGCTTCTTTTGACTGTTTTGCACAGCCTGGTTATCTATCAACAACATATGGGGAGATCAGCATGTTTCCCACTGACTTTCCAATCCTGATTCTTTGTTTTTTTTTTTAGCTCTCCTACTGACCACCACTGAAGAGCACAGAGAGCCCATCATCAGAATACTGTATACCATCCAGTGATGTTTGCATGAATTGTACCTATGTACTGGGTTTATATCCTACTTTTCTTTAAAGACCTTATGAATTCAGTTTTTTAACCCACTGCCATCCAGTTGTTGATAATTAATGTTAAAAGTCCATGCTACAGCCTTGGCATTGCTACCATCTCTTGTCCCAAGATAGGCAATTCTGATCCTGCTTGGCTTAGTGTGATATGATTAAATTATACAGCAGTAGCAATAGCACTTAGACTTATATACCACTTTATAATGCTTTACAGCCCTCTCTAAGTGGTTTACAAAGTCAGCATATTGCCCCAGTGTCCCTAGCAGTGTCCTTGGCCTTTTTAAGATGTGTGAGCTTCAACTTCTGGCTAGCTGGGGAATTCTGGTGGGCTTCAACTTCTGGCTAGCTGGGGAATTCTGGTTGTTGAAGTCCATATTTCTAGAAGTTGCCAAAATTAAGAAACACTGGTCTATAGGCTCACCTAAGATAACGAGCTCATTCTAAGTTGAAATTAATTTATTATCAGGTAAAGCTGTTACAGTAAATCTTTGTCATTTATCACCAAAGATGTATTTTACATAAGTTTTAAATTTCAACAAAACCATTCTGCTGCTGGGTTTTGGGTAGAATTTCTCTCTAATCTCATTCTTCATTCCACACTGCTTACTAATTCAGGATAACACTACTTCCTCTGAAGAAACAGATTCTAATCAATACTCGTCTATGCCATAATGAAATTGAAGATGCTTTTTGGGTTTGGCTGCAACAGGATAACACAATAATATAGCTAATTCCCATTAGAAATCAGGGTTTTATGTATCAGTTCTAATGTGGTATCTATTTTTGATTAACTTGCATGTGACACCAGAAGTGCTAATGAAAAAAGTCACAAGTTCTATGAGCAGAAACTGGATATTTACATTTTGGAATCCATAAATTGCATCTTAATCTGCTTTTGCTCAAGGTATACCTACCTAGATCCAGGTTTCAGTTTCTTGGAGTATTTTAACCAATCTAGCTGAGTTTTCTCTCTCTTCTTCTTCAGATTCTTCTAGATAAAAGACTTGTCTTTTTCTGCCACCTGATGAACACTTTCTCCTCAAGAGAACCTCCAAGAGCAATTCACTAGTCAGTTTAGAGTCAATGTTATGATACAGGGTATTGTTTGCAAATAGTAACCTCAGAGAAAGCATCCCCAGGGCCACACAAGTCAAAGCAGAGGTGACGCTTTCCAAACACTCCCCTACGGACTGAGAAAATTTTCATCAACCTTCCATTTCTGTTGCTAATAGGGACTAAAGACACATAATGTGCATCAATCCAGGGAAGATTTGGATTCAGATCCCACTATCTTCCTATAGAAAAAAAATGCAACATCTATACCTATAGGGATTTGCTTTTAGTTGTTCTATTTGCCCAAGCAAAGCTGAGAACTTGGATAAAATACAATAGGTGGCTCAAATAATCAATCCTGTCCCCTCACATTTCCTTCTCCCCAAGTCTCACCAGGAAGTTTGCTCCAATTATAAACAACAGCCAAAAAAAGTTAAGTAGCTAGAACAAATGTATTAGAACTGAAAGGAGAAAAGCTGTATTTCCACACAGTCATTAAATGCTGAACCTTTAATAGTTATCAATTATAGGCCTTCACTGAGAGGCTAAAGCAAGCTTAGCAGCTAAGACAGATTTCATGGAATGGTGCCAATAATTAACAATAGAATATTAAACTGAAACAAGGTACTAAGGAAGAATAACTAGAATTAGGATCAAGTCACTGAAACATGGGAAAAACAGCATTTGCCTCAAACTGTCTTTGTTTCTAACACGGGTAATAAACTCAAAATTAAAAGAATGCCATCCTTAAATTTAATCTTGTATGCATACTCCTTTGTTGATCAAATATGAGAACTACAGATATGCAATGGCAATTTATCATAAGGAAGATACGAATCTGTTTTGAAAGCTATTTGCAGAATGTTATTAGGTCAAAAGCTTCTGCAGAGCTCCAGCTGAATCAGGTGCAAAGAACCTGCACTTTTATTGTCTGATTCTGAGTAATGAACACATGCTTTGCAATATATCATCCATGAGGCAGCCAACATTTTTAGAATATTTAAGAAAACTGCATAATTGGCTGTGGGCACATCTCCCCCACCTGGCACTTCATAGCTCCATCATCAGGTTGGTTTGCTGATTATAGATGTGCTAAAGAAAATGCAGACACTATTGAAAATGCATATGTTTGATTGATGGGGGAGGAAGAATTCCTACAGGTATGTAATTATGGTTGAATACTGACAAACCCTCTAGAGTTGTGTTTGAAATTTTTATTTGGAGTCCAGGGTTTTTGAGTCTTTGTAAGGAAGGAAATCCATTACAAATGGGATGAAGAATGTTAAAAGGTTATTCACATCCTTCAGTTCTAAAGAATATTTCTCTGCTATTTTCTCAGCAGTCCATGTCTCTGGAGAGCGCTGATGGTTGTTGAGAAGAGTCAAGGCTTCTTCTATCAAGACTTTGCCTTTGGGAACAGTCTGAATGTCCAGATAATTGAACTGTCCATCTATTACCGGCCTGTAATCCTCCTGCTTATGTGGGAGATTTCTCCCTTTTTTTTTCCTCTAGGAGAGAAAAAAAGTAAAAAATAAATAAACCATTAGAAATATGTTAGTCAATGTTCTATTTCTATATTAAGGCATTTATTTTTCATATAACCACCTGTAATGAAGTTATGAACTACAGGTAATCTTTGGGTTATAATGATAATTGGAACTGGAATCTCCATTGCTAAGTAATGCAGTCATAAAGCAGAATGTATCATGACTGCAATGGTAATAGAGATTGTCATTGTTAAGCCAGGGCTGTGTAGATCAATAACAAAGGACCTCACAAGACCGCATCGTGGAAAAAGGCAGGAATCAAGAGATGCCTGCTTATGCTGCTGAAACTTTGTTCCAGATAAGTAGGCTGGCAGGAAGGTCCCATAGGTGGAGTGCAGGATGGGCAGGGTGGACAGGTGCTGGGATTGGCACTAGAGAATGCAGTCAGGCATTGCAGGTGCTCTCCACATGCTGCCCAGAGACTTCTTGGGAGAAAAATTGGTGGGGGTGAAAATTGGCAGGGATGAGAGTGACTTGCGACTTCCTGCCAGTTTCCCATTGACTTTGTTTGTGAGAAGTTGGCAGGGAAGGTCACAAATGGCAATCACATGCCTATGGGATGCTGCAGGTCCAGGGGTGGGATTCTACCGGTTCGGACCGGTTCAGGTGAACCCCTTGTTCTGATGTTCAGCTTGCTCCGAACTGGTTTGCTGCGACAAGGAAGTAGGCCTGCCTGCCCACCTTTGCTCTTTCCTGTGCTTTATGCCTTTGTTTAGAGCACAGCTGATTCGCGTGGCAGAGCAGTTTGCCGTGCCTCAGCTGTTTTCTTCACAGAGGCTGCAGTTGAATATAAATATGGGCTTGCCTTTTTTAAATGCGGAGCACGCATTTGGAGCGAACGCGGGCAATCACTGAACCGGTTGTTATATCGATGGAATCCCACCCCTGTGCAGGTCTCATAATTCCGAATTGTCACAGGGATGCCCTGATAATTGCAATTCACGGATCACTTATAAGACACACACACCACCCCCCATTTAGTGCTGTCATAACTCTAAATGGTTGCTGAATTAATGCTAAGTGAGGACTACCTAAATTAATGCTAAGTGAGGACTACCGGTATTCTTCTCTTATGAGTCTACCTGGTTTCCCATTTAAAAGAAGTGTCTGGTTGTAATCCTTGTCATTCTGGCTGTTTAAAGAATTGGAAATACTTCAGGGGTATTTGGAAAAATATTACATTAGAACATTACTTGTTTTTTTAAATGTACAACATCCCAGATTCATATCTATGATTACTAGCAAGCTCGAATCCTGAAACCCAAAATGTGGCTGCTATCAGTTAAAGACAAAATTCAAGCCAAATAGAATAATAGTCTGGTTTGCTATACAGTGGCTTGTTACTTTTTAAATTTTCCAAAGGTTTTAAAAATCCCTTTCCCTGTCAATGTCTTTCCCCTCCCTTTATCTTCATGAGAACTGGGGTGGGAGTTGGGGGGTGGCGGCTTGTCTGAGATGCTTCCTCAGGTTACAATTCTATTCTGGACTCAGGTTTCTGTTACCCAACTGTTATTTTGCTAGCAGTTCTTCCTTTTCTTCCTCAATATTATTTCTTCTTGACTATAATTCAAATTTTCCCTCAGCTATAGGATCCAGTGGGTGGCTCTGGGCCAGACATTCTCTCTTGTCTGTAAAACGTCACAAGATTGTTTTGAGTCTAAAATGAGGGGAGGCCTAGATGTTAAGCTATCTGGAGCGTTTAAGGAGGAAAATGATATCAGTGCAAAATTAGAAAAAAATTAAGAACCTAAAACAGCCCTGCTGGCTTAGGCCCAAGCCCTTTTAGTTTAACATTTGATTTCTCACATTATCTAAATGGAAATCTCTAGATGTAGGATCCAGTGCCAGTTATAGCAACCCTACTTAATTTCATGGTTTCTAAATGTAAGCCTGATTACTTTTACGTTTCAACCAACTGGTTTTGGCCAAATGTTGCGGCCTGTCAAGATATCCTCAGTATCTTATTTCTAAATGATTATTGATGAAAACATTCCCAATGAACATTTGTTCTTTGGGTAACCTAAATGACAAAAGGCTTTGCCCATTAACACATAGGATAAAAGACATAACCCCAGAGATGCATCTTTCCTGAAAAATAAATGATCTAAAAATCCTGAGAAAAATATATTTTATACATTTCATTATCTTTTCAGGAATCGTAGAAAATTGTAAGTGGCCTACTTAGGATTAGCCTCAGAGCTTTAGTTTTGGTAACTGAGGCCAAGCAATTGATTGTTGAGCAAAAAACCAAAAAGTTTTCTCAACCTTGGCAACTTTTAAGATATGTGATTTCAGCAAGCTGGGGAATTCTGGGAGTTGAAGCCCAGACATCTTAAAAGTCAGTCAGGTTAAGAAATGCTGCAGCCTCACATGCAGGCCCTGTAGGATAATGCCCCCCCTTGCAAGTCAAAATTGCAGGCTGGGGAGGGACCAGAAACGAAAGAGCGATTCTTCTCTCTCTCTTTTTATCTCCATCTAGTGGACTGCCAGAAGAAAGACAGCTTTTTCTAAACTGATTCCTTGCAGAGGATTTTTGAAATTAGGCTGAGCTGACGACCTATTTTATAGCATCAAAACACAAGGAATTTTACAAACTGATATGCTAAGAGATTGTCTGTTCTTGCTTGAGAGTTTGAATTGCTATGAAAAAGCTAAGCACAGGGACTGCTTGGAGGAGACTACTGAAAAAAAGACCAGCTATGAATCTCTTATATTGGACGACATAAGACATATAATTGTCTTATATTGGACAACTGGTTTGTCAATATGAACAGATCATTCTTTGTTTTGCTGCCATTTGTTTCCCTTACTGGGTTTTACATTTTGACACTACCAATAGTCAATTGAAATTTAAAATAAGCAATGCTGGAGAGTTAAAATACTGCAAAAGGATAGTGGAGGACAGCAATGATAGCAAACATAGCCATGGTCTTTTTTCATATAACCTCATGAAATATTAAAATTCAGACTAAAGATCTGAATCTCTGCAACTACAGTGAATGGAGGAGAGGGGGAGAGATGAACAGAAACAAGGAGGCAAAGAAAGATCTGGGACAGAAAGTAGAGCAAGCTGCCAGAGGCAGGCAAAGAAGAAAAAAGAAAAAGGAGGGCATCTCCAAGCAGGACAACCTTCAGCATTTCTTTCTAACTTCTAAACTCTGAGAAGTTGTCTATAAGGCCTGAACCTAGCTTGTTCGCCAAATGCATGAGACTTATCCCGCAGGCCCATTTATTTCTCTTATATTAAAGTCAACATCAATTATCTTAGAAATTAAGAGAGGAAGCCCTATCAAACACAGCTAACATCATTTCTGAATAATCTCCCTGTTATTTGGACATCTATAAGCACCTTAATGTCAGATTCCAAATACAAATAAGTTATTCAGAAGTGCATACTTTTGAATACAGGTATACTCCCGACTTACGAGTACAATTGGGGCCAGCATTTCCTTTGCTATACAAAGGGTTGTTTAAGAGAGTCCCATCCAATTTTAGGACCCGTTTTTGCCACAGTTAAGTGCCTCACTGCCGTTGTCAAGAGAATCCAGCTTCCCACATTGATTTTGCTTGTTGGAATCTGGCTGGAAAGATTACAAACGGAGATCACATGATCGCCATTTGTAATCTAGGTGCCCTGTTGGCGCAGCGCAGAGGTGGTATTCAGCAGGTTCTGACCAGTTCTGGAGAACCAGTAGTGGAAATTTTGAGTAGTTCGTAGAATCGGCAAATACCACCTCTGACTGGAGATTTTACAGTCACACCCACCAAGCTATGCTCACAGAACCGTTAGTAAAGTAATTTGAATCCCACCACTGGCGCAGCGGTAGAATGAAGTATTGCAGGCTAACTGCCCACAGTCCAGAGTTTGATCCTGATGGGGCTCAAGGTTGACCCAGCCTTCTGAGGTTGATCAAATGAGGGCTCAGATTATTGGGGGCAATAGGCTGATATTGTAAACCGCTCAGAGAGCACTGTAAAGCACTATGGAGCGGTATATAAGTCGAAGTGCTATTGCTATCTCAGGATGCTGCAACCACCATAATACATGCCAGCTGCCAAGAGCTCAAATTTTGATCACATGACCACGGGGATGGTATAACAGTCTAAGTGCCAAATCACTTTTTTCAGTGCTCTTGTAACTTCAAACGATCGCTAAATAAATGGTTGTAAGTCAAGGACCACCCGTGAGCGTCTTCAAATTATCAGGAATTTTGATACATTTGCAGTGCATTACCAAAATAAAGGCAAAACAGAATTCTGAGCAGGTGGAATAAAAAAGACATTTGGGAAATCTGTGAAAGGGATTTACATAGACAGATCCTTGCATTTATTAGATAAATGTCACTGAGAATGGGAAATGTATAAGAGATTAATTGTATTCATAAGCTGAAAAAAATATCAGGCACTGGCTTGTACTGATATGGGTAACAAATCAATGTAAGAAAGCAAAGACTAGTTGGACTGTATCATGAAAAACCCTGACACTTCTTTTGTCCCCAGTATGCTATGTAAAACTGAATTATCAATGTGTGTGTGTGTGTGTGCATTTCAAGACTCTGTAACTCACTTGCAAGCCTGGATCACTGGAATCAACATAGACATCCTTTAATAAAGTAAGAAGCTTTTCATCTTTTTTCTTTATCTCTTCTTGGAAACTGGCAGACCCTGAAGAAAATAAACATAAAAACCATAATTTTACATTTTTAGAACAAAATGGCACAGTTCCAATGGAAGAGAAATATATGTAGCTAAGAGCTGAACCATAGAGTCCTTGGTGGTCTCTGAGCTTGGCTGTTTACCTGCAGAACTTTCATTATCCAACTAGGTAACTTATCAGTGCTAGTAAGTGTGGGGTTTGCTCCTCATTTATATATGGTAGCTTGTCTTGCCAGGGGGTTAGTGGGGCTGTGGTTTTCTCCTGGATAGTTTCTTGAATAGGATATTGTTTTCTGCTTGACTGTTGTCTCCTTAATAGTTCCTTGAAACAAAAAGACCAGAACACATCCTCTTCAGCAGCCAATATCCAGATAAGCAGAGATCAATACCTTACAAACCATCAAGCAAGCATAAAATAATACCCTAATCAAGGAACTACTAAGGAAAAAACATCCTCACCAATACTGGCAGGGCAAGCTACTGTATATAAATAGAAAACAAACACCACTCTCAGTAGCACTGATAATGTTACCTAGTAGGTTAATAAAATGTCTGACAACCAAGCCCAGAAAGCACGATAGAGTCCACAGTACAGTTCTAAATGAAATCATAAACAAAAAGTATGTGCATTTACAAACACAGACACACACTACACAAGCACACACATTCAGGCTACTGAACTGCATTTGAAATAGCCTCTGCTCTTAAAACCTGAAAGCAATTATTCCTCTAACTTGGGCTAGAACCATTTAATGCGTGAGCTCTGTCATTGTACAATATAATGGAGACATGGAAGACAAGGGACAAAGAGGATTTTCTATGAAGTTAAGCAGGCCTGTCACCTTAGGAAAGAAATTATATTCCTAATTCCTCCTCAGTATACTATATTCTTTTTCTATCCATTTTACTGACTTCCCATTTAGTTTTAAGTGCTACATTTTCAGACATGTTTAGCTAAGAGATTATTATTTAGCTTGTGAACGTTGTGGCTGAATGGAAATTAGAAGTCTTCTACTCTACTGCTTTTAGTGGATTTCAGCTGAAGAACATATGCTCGGACTGTAACAGGATGGTGCCCACTGAAATTAATATAGCTTGGGAGATTTCCTGGCCTGGGTCTTTCAATTTCCTAAAGATGCCCTCATACCCTAGCCCTAAGCTGCTTGACTCCTATGTGTAAACTGATTGGAAATGAAGCTGGTATGAGGAATCTCCTTCTAGATTTCAACCTGTTCTGCTTTGGCTATGTTACACTGGCAATGGCCCTTTAATTGGTAGACTTGCCTTCTTTACGCCTCCCACCAAGGCACTAATTTCTTTCCTTGGATGGCTCTTTGGGGACATTAGACTTCTACTAACAGACCACCATGCTCTTATCAATTCCTGTCATGTAAGTTTCTAAAAGAAAACAACAAAACCTTTGTTAATTTCACCTAGAGTGGAAAAGAAGGAACCACCATATCCCTGATTCACAGTGAACAACCAGAAATAAAATGTCCAATTTCACTGGTCTAAGATAAAGGGGGGGGGGGGGGAATCCAGAGGTTCACCATCCAAGTCTCTTCAGAAGGGGACAGGCCTAGCTACCCAAGACAAATGGCCACCAGGGCATTGACCAATGGTCAAAGAGGCGCACAATAGCGTTTGCACTACAATGAAATTAACTGCAACGGATAAACTGGACAGCACCACTTGTGCCAACACAAATCAGAAAACATTACTGACGGTAGGAAAAGATAGGTAGAAGTTGTTTTCAAGTGAATTGTGGGTGGGTAGAGTTGATGGCATGTATTCCAGCCCTGAAAAATGGTTAATCACCCAGGTCACTCCTAATATAATTTCTCTGGTTTTACTTTAGCACATTGCATAAATTAACTGATTGTGGCTTCTTTAATCAGTTAAAGAAAGCAGGACTAAGTGTGTTCTGTGTTAGCTGATCTGTCTGGAGCTGAAAAGAACATTACAGGTAGTCCTTGACTTGAACCCCAAATGTCTTGCTGCTGAGTGAGACATTTGTTAAGTGAGTTTTGCCCCATTTTACAACCTTTCTTGCCACAATTGTTAAGTGGCTGTAGTTGTTAATAAATAACATGATTGTTAAGTGAATCTAGTTTCCCTGTTGACGTTGGTTGTCAGAAGGTCGCAAAAGGTGATCACATGACCCCAGTACATTGCAACTGTCATAAATATGAGTCACTTGCCAAGCATCCGAATTTGGATCACATGACCATAGGGACCCTTCAACAATCCTAAGTGTGAAAAATGGTCATAAGTCACTCTTTTCAGTGCCGTTGCAACTTCGAGAAGTCACTAAACGAACTGTCAAGGACTACCTCTATCTGCTTCTTTACAGAAGCCATAATTTTGTATTTTGCAACAGGGCTATTTCGAGTAAAGAAAGGCAGCCAGGGGGGAGTAAAAAGGATGTATTGTTCAATCATTTGTATATTTACGTCTGTACTGATGGAACCGGAAGACTTTCATAGAGCAGTGGTGGTACAGTAGTTAGAATGCAGTACTGCAGGCTACTTCTGTTGACTGCCAGCATTCGGCAGTTCAAATCTCACCAGGCTCAAGGTTGACTCAGGCTTCCATCCTTCAGAGGTGGGTAAAAATGAGGATCCAGATTGTTGGGGAAAATAGGCTGATTCTGTAAACCGCTTAGAGAAGGCTGTAAAACACCGTGAAGTGTTAAATCTAAGTTCTACTCCTATTGCTATGTCCAAGCTCTGTCTGGGCATCCTTGCCCCTTAACTGCGTTCCTAGCTTCTGCTCATTACCGCAGACGCGCATGCGGCAGCTGCTAAAGTCAAACAATCGGTCCTTCCAAATGCAGGACGCAGAATAAACGCGCGAGCGCGGTTTCCAAAACGGGAGCGGAACGAGGGGTCGCCTCAATGTCACCAGCGCCCTTGCCCTCGAAAATCGCGGTTACTTTTTGTTTGTGCAGCCTCCGCCCCCACCCCACGACCGGTTTCGTTTAAAGGACAAAGCCTGACTACGAATATCCCCTTCCTTTGCAAGATTTGCTCCCAAGGCCGTGCTCCCTTAGATGCAATGGGAAAGGAAGCCCTTTGCTCTTTATGGACGCAATGCAACAGTCGTTCCCTGCCGCGGGGCTGCCCGGGGATATTCCGTGGCGGGACGGCGCCTGGTTTCTTCCCTTTCCCCAAATTTCCTTTAATCCAGCCCCTCTGCAGTAGAAAGCAAAGAGTGATAACTGTACGATCCGGCAGCGCGTTTGCGCCCGCTGAACTCACAATCCGGCGCTGCTGCGGCGGGGTGGTGCGGGGCAGGTCTGGGTTTGCTCTTGCTGATTTCCCGGTACGCTCGGTTCTCCACGTTAAACTTGCTAAGCATGCGGGTCAGCCTGCCGCCCATCGCACCGGCTCACAACGCGTCGGGGAAGGTGTCGGTGTGGCCTTTGCGCAGAAGGCCGACGATCGGCTCACAGACCGCGGCCGAGGGCGCCGCTTAGTGGAGTGGAGGTCGGGTTGTTTTCTAAAAGAGAAAGTCGAATTCGCTATTTTTCCCTCCGGAAATCTGAAGTCGTATTGTAAACTTGAGCCCGAACCTTCTGTGATTCCCCACCACCGGCACCCGCGTGAATCAGGAAGGTGCGAGCTCGAAACTCTGCGATCCAACTAGGGTAGGGAGGACACAGATGATTGGAAAGGAGGATACACGCACCCTTTAACTTTCTGTGCGGTCATGACAAGTATTACAGCCAAAAACTGCAAAAAAAAAAAAAAAAAAAAAAAGAACTACACTTTTACTATCGGAATTTCAAATTGAGGTATTTTTCCTATAAATCTTTATTTTTCAAAAACATGTTAATGATAATAGAGAATCGACAAGAACGCTCTCCAAATTTTACCCCAGGAACCTATGGAATCATGTCACCTAAAGATGACGGTGATTTGAAGGGGATGGACCGAAATAATGTTAATCTAGGGCTGTTGAATCTGTCAACAGATGAAAGAAAGAAGCAGGCATTTTCATAAATTTTAATGGCTACATATGAAGAATAATATATGCTCTGGTTCTAACAAGAGGATGCCCACTGAAATTAAAATTTTGTGAAAAATTGTGTGTGTGTGTGTGTGTGTATGTATGTGTGTATGTATGTGTGTATGTATTTTGCTGGCTGAGGATGAAGGGGTTGCAGCCCAGCAGATCTGAAGAATACCAATTAGGTTGCAATGTCAAATCAGCTACATAATGCTTTCCAGAGGCTTTGCACCTGTAAGCTTTGGGAACATAGGAGTGATAACTTGGTCTTGGAGGCCACCATATTAGCAACATAATCTCTTCACAAATGCAATTATCATTATTTTCTATTGCAAACCTATTCCCAGTAAGTATCATTGAATAAACACATCTTTGAGGGCTAGATTGCCTGATAAATGCAACAATTAGAGAAAATTTAACCTTGAACTAATTATTCAGCAATCTAATTCACCAAAATATAGTGTGGTTTGGCTTGTAATGCCTTAATCCAAATATTTGTCCTTTGAACGAAAACTAGTTGAACAGCCCAAGAAGTTATATTTAATAGAGTACTCAAACTAAAAAGTTCTTTCCAATATGTGGAGAAAGATTCAAGTGACATAAATTATTAATATTTTTGTTTTAAGTTTCCTTTGTTTTTACCTGTGAAATAATACGTTTTTAAAGAGAAAACTGAGCCAAAGCTAAGCACTTTTAGGTTTGTTCATTTTAGTACTGTAGGAGATAGGTATAGCAATAGCACTTACACTTATATACCACTTCACAGTGGTATAATGGTATACAGCCCTCTCTAAGTTGTTTACAGAGTCAGCCTATTGCCCCCAACAATCTGGGTCCTCATTTTGCCCACCTTGGAAGGATGGAAAGCTGAGTCAACCTTGAGCCTGGTGAGATTCGATCTGCCAAATTGTAGGCAGCTGGCAGTCAGCAGAAGTAGCCTGCAGTACTGTATTTTAACCACTGTGCCCCCGCAGCTCCTACCCATGATATAGGAAGTTTTCATTTAACCACAGCAATTAAGGACTGGAATTTCCATTACTAAGTAACACAGTTGTAAAATGTGACATCATGTGATCATCCTTTGAGATCTGCTGGCTTTCTCTTTGCCTTTGCTTGTTGAAAACCAATGAAGGCTGCAAATAGCAATCATGTAATCATGGGATGCTTCAACATCATAATTATGAGCTGCCTGCCAAATGGATGCTGAAATCTCGTAAGTATGAGGACTGGTTAAAAGTAGTTGTTTAGCACTGTTGTAAATTTGAAAGTAGTTGTTTAGCACTGTTGTAAATTTGAATGGTTGCTTAACAAGTGGTTTAGCAAGGACCACTTGTAGTGGTAATAGCTATCCAAATTATAAGAAAATTGTCAAGATTCACTTTATGCATATATGTGGAAAAACAGTGGCCAGATGGAAAAGAAGATGCCACTCGTATGCCTTTAACTTTGGTTAGAAAGTTGGTCAGCTCTACAGCAGTTGTTACTGATCAATTATCGAGTATATAAGAACCCTGTTTTCTCTTGTGTTTGGCCAAATTCAGTAATCAATAGGACATTTAGGCAAACCGGGGCTCCAATCTATGATGGCACATTTTCTGTTCATCTACTAATAAATGTGAGCCATAGATAATACATAATTTTGATCTGGGTTTACTGGTTGCAAAAGTTGCTTTGTTTATTGCATGCCTGGAAAGCACAATGATTTTTCATGACATTTCTCCGGTATGGTAAGTTGTTATACAAGTATCTAGCCTCAAGCATTTAATTGTTGGTCCTGCCAAGTGCAAATCCTTACAGCTTGTTTTTTCCTGTTTTTTCTTTTTCTCTTGCCAATGGAAGTTTTTCACATGGATAGTTCTTCAAAGAAAGAAAACCCCTCTTTAAAAAAAAAGGATGTATAGTTACAGAATTCCACTTGGAATTTGCCTGAGGCTGCTTGCCCCGTGTGAATAGAATAATACAACTAGTCATGAAAAATGACCAGCTTCTTGCCTGTTCTACAAGAAAGATAGCTGATGATATTCCAGCATATTACAGCTTTGTAAGTAATACAGTACTAAAGTTAGGAATATAACCTTTGTAAAAAAAAAAGTATTCTTGAGATCAATGTTTGCATGAAAGAAAATAAAAATAAGGTTTCTTCAGAAAACTATTGGGTGACAGGAAAGCCCATGTTAAATTTTTCTTCAAGTTAAATTTATCTTCAGCAAAGAACTTATTTCTTTGATGGAGAGAGAGCACAGTTTGTAAGTTTAGGTATTAACCTGATGTGCTTTTTTTCCAACCTCCCCTTCCTGAACAAGATGCTTGAGAACACAGAGGCTGAATAAATCAAAACTGTTATACAAAACAAATGTTCTTAAACAAGTTTTGGGTCCAGTTTTGGCACCTAAACTGCTTTGGTCACCCTACTGATCTTTCCTGGGAGGGAGGGAGAGGAGTACATGCTGTTGGTTCTGGATCTCTCTACAGCAGGGGTCCCCAACCACCGGGCCGCGGACCGGTACCGGGCCGTGGAGCACTCTCTACCGGGCCGCAAAGAATTTTTTTTTTTAAAAAAATGGCGGCTTTCTTCACCTTCGGTGAATGCTGCTGGGATCGGGGATCAAGGACACAAATGAAAGAAGGGGAGGGAGGAAGCAACCGAAGCCTGTCCTTCTCTCTGGGTCAGCTCTCTCAGTCGCTCTCTCGCTCCTCCACCAGCACAGGAAGAA